TGACCTTTCTAATGAGAAAACGGCACTGGGCCCCAACCATGGAAATGTGGAATTTCTGCCCGCGGCTCTGTGCTGCCAGTAGAGATGAGCATCGCCCCACGCTCCATTGCACCGGGAAGACTAACAAGGGGAGAAAATTGTTGTTTTGTTTATAATCACCGGCCAAGACGTTTCCATTCTCTAGATTTGGAACACGAAACATGGGCTTCATGTTCACAGCTCCTGTAGGCGATGGGGGCAAGTCTTACGTTGTACTCAGGGAGGTACAGCTACCACGTAGGATGTCACGTTTTTTGTGCTGTACAGCTGACATGTTTTTCGGGGTGTTGTTTGGAATGTTCAATGCTTCGCTCCAATTGCCGAGAGCTGTTGTGCGGTGGAACCGAGTGGTGAGTTTTTCGGGTAGCACTTGCATCGCGGTTCCATGTCCAATGAATTAACTTTCTCATTGACTGTGCTGAACAACACGTGGCACAACCCGAAAATACATCGGAGAGGCTACGTGCACCAACATATTTGCAGACGTTTTTACACTGACACCCTTTTCACATAACATGTCAATTGCTTATTATATATTCCGAGTTGGAATTAACAAGATTTACTAAATGTTTGAACAATGGTTTGTTTTGTTTGTGCAGTAATTGGTGATCAGGCGGGTACCATCACATTGTTCAAAATCAGAATCTTGAGTTAAGACTGGAGGAATCCGATGAGCTATGAAACTCTTTTTTTCAGATTACACTTGAGAACCCGGTTAAATTCACTGGCCGCCCCCTGCCACAGACCTGAACCCAGGCTTCTCAGGGCTGGAGGAGGCTCGGTGCTCTGACACGGCCGTTATTACCGCCCACCAACCCTGATTCACGCACAAGGCAGGAGGACGTAGTGGGTTTCATTCACTCACAAGGCAAGAGGCACTAGAGGGTTTCATTCACTCACAAGGCAAGAGGCACTAGAGGGTTTCATTCACTCACAAGGTAAAAGGACGTAGAGGGTTTCATTCACTCACAAGGCAAGAGGCACTAGAGGGTTTCATTCACTCACAAGGTAAGAGGCACTAGAGGGTTTCATTCACTCACAAGGTAAGAGGACGTAGAGGGTTTCATTCACTCACAAGGCAGGATGAACTAGAGGGTTTCATTCACTCACAAGGCAAGAGGCACTAGAGGGTTTCATTCACTCACAAGGCAAGAGGCACTAGAGGGTTTCATTCACTCACAAGGCAAGAGGCACTAGAGGGTTTCATTCACTCACAAGGCAAGAAGCACTAGAGGTTTTCATTCACTCACAAGGTAGGAGGACGTAGAGGGTTTCATTCACTCACAAGGCAAGAGGCACTAGAGGGTTTCATTCACTCACAAGGTAAGAGGACGTAGAGGGTTTCATTCACTCACAAGGCAGGAGGAACTAGAGGGTTTCATTCACTCACAAGGCAAGAGGCACTAGAGGGTTTCATTCACTCACAAGGTAAGAGGACGTAGAGGGTTTCATTCACTCACAAGGCAAGAGGCACTAGAGGGTTTCATTCACTCACAAGGCAGGAGGAAGAGGGTTTCATTCACTCACAAGGCAGGAGGAAGAGGGTTTCATTCACTCACAAGGCAAGAGGCACTAGAGGGTTTCATTCACTCACAAGGCAAGAGGCACTAGAGGGTTTCATTCACTCACAAGGCAAGAGGCACTAGAGGGTTTCATTCACTCACAAGGCAAGAGGTACTAGAGGGTTTCATTCACTCACAAGGCAAGAGGCACTAGAGGGTTTCATTCACTCACAAGGCAGGAGAAAATAGAGGGTTTCATTCACTCACAAGGCAGGAGAAAATAGAGGGTTTCATTCACTCACAAGGCAGGAGGACCTAGAGGGTTTCATTTACTCACAAGGCAAGAGGATCTAGAGGGTTTTACGCTCCATATCTGGCAACGTGGTATGGGTCTCCCCTCCCCGCTTCGGCAGCAGTGGGATTGGACGGGGCCACGCCCTGACCACAACTCCCAAAAAGTACCACCACCGACACCGCCACTCACACAATCATAGTAGTGACAAGTTACACCAATCCATCACCACCACCAACACAATCACAGTAGTGACAAGTTCCACCACAAAGACAAAGATTCCCCATATAGCCTGTAACATACTGTAGGGGCAAGTGCTGTTAGCGAGCACCTATGAAGGCCAGAACGGTACACGAGGGGGTGGGTGGCCAGCACCACGCCCGACCGCCTTTGTCTCCCTAGTGGCGATGTTTACACACTGCACCAGGTACTCATTTGAGGCTGAGTCGACCTAGGGGAGGCCCGGGACCGGTTCAGATAATCGTCACTGGTGTTGGCCGTGAGCGGGAATCGAACCCGGGTCGCCAGGTTCATAGCGCAGCGCGCTAACCGCTACACTATCGCTCCACCACACACACAATAGTAGTGACAAGTTCCACCAACCCACACCACCACTCACACAATCACAGTAGTAACAAGTTCCACCACCCACACCATCATCAACACAATCACAGTAGTGACAAGTTCCACTACCCACACCGCCACTCACACAATCACAGTAGTGACAAGTTCCACTACCCACACCACCACTCACACAATCACAGTAGTGACAAGTTACACCAATCCATCACCACCACCAACACAATCATAGTAGTGACAAGTTCCACCACACACACTACCACTCACACAATCACAGTAGTGACAAGTTCCACCACACACACCACCACTCACACAATCACAGTAGTGACAAGTTCCACCAACCCACACCACCACCAACACAATCACAGTAGTGACAAGTTCCACCACCCACACCACCATCAACACAATCACAGTAGTGACAAGTTCCACTACCCACACCACCACTCACACAATCATAGTAGTGACAAGTTCCACCACCCACACCACCATCAACACAATCACAGCAGTGACAAGTTCCACTACCCACACCGCCACTCACACAATCACAGTAGTGACAAGTTCCACCACCCACACCGCCACTCACACAATCACAGTAGTGACAAGTACCACCACCGACACCGACACTCACACAATCATAGTAGTGACAAGTTACACCAATCCATCACCACCACCAACACAATCACAGTAGTGACATGTTCCACCACCCACACCACCACTCACACAATCACAGTAGTGGCAAGTTCCACCACTCACACCGCCACTCACACAATCACAGTAGTGACAAGTTCCACCAACCCACACCACCACTCACACAATCACAGTAGTGACAAGTTCCACCACACACACCACCACTCACACAATCACAGTAGTGACAAGTTCCACCACACACACCACCACTCACACAATCACAGTAGTCACAAGTTCCACCAACCCACACCGCCAGCAACACAATCACAGTAGTGACAAGTTCCACCACACACACCACCACTCACACAATCACAGTAGTGACAAGTTCCACCACACACACCACCACTCACACAATCACAGTAGTGACAAGTTCCACCACCCACACCACCACTCACACAATCACAGTAGTGACAAGTTCCACCACCCACACCACCACTCACACAATCACAGTAGTGACAAGTTCCACCACCCACACCGCCACTCACACAATCACAGTAGTGACAAGTTCCACCAACCCACACCACCACTCACACAATCACAGTAGTGACAAGTTCCACCACACACACCACCACTCACACAATCACAGTAGTGACAAGTTCCACCACACACACCACCACTCACACAATCACAGTAGTGACAAGTTCCACCACTCACACCACCACCACACAATCACAATAGTGACAAGTTCCACCAACCCACACCACCACCCACACAATCACAGTAGTGACAAGTTCCACCACCCACACCACCACTCACACACAGTAGTGCCACACTCCCCAATACTATAACATGCTGCACTTATTAACTAATACCTGACTTTTCAATACTTGATAGGAGAGTATTTATCTCGCCAGTAGGTTACTTACAACCCAATACTCTCTAGCGCATAACTGAAGCACTTAGATTCTGCAAGTTTACAGGAACTCGACTCTCCAACATTTCACTACTTCGTACACTCCGGTACCTAAAGCCGAAGTACTCCCCATGATTCCAGTACCTGACTCTCGCCACACTTTCACTCGCAGTACACGCGCATGACTCCCCCCCCCCCCCCCCCCACACAGTACCTGTCACGCGTTATCCTAAACCCGAGTGACTTCATCAGCTCGAGTCCTGTGCGCCACGACGCGACCTCGCTCACTAAATGTGTGGCCAAAGCGAGACGAACTCGCGCGTGTGGCGGGGTTCCGAGTGAGGTGTCTGTGACTTCGTGAAAGGTTTCCGCCTCGTAGAGCACGGGGCGACTCGAACACACACGGAGACATTTCAAGGCACTCGAGGAGAGAGAGTCGACTACGACAAAGTCGCAGGGCAACACCCCAAGGTGTGAAGAAGAAGAAACAGCAGCAGCAGCAGCGCTGGGGAGTCACGGCAAGGAGGCTGGCGTCAAAGGCGGTGCACAGCAAGAGGGTCGAGTTGACTGCGGCCAGCAGGCGAGAGAGAGAGATAAGATGATGGGGACACAATGGAGCGGTGGAAGTCTCCAAAGTGTGAAGGCAGTGACGGGAGTCAGAATAGCGGAGGGTGGCGTTAATCAGTTCATCGCCGGAGGGGGGGGGGGGGCGGGGGTGAGGGAGTCAATAAATCGAGAATTAGTCGAGCAAAAATCAAGGGGGGAAAGGCGGTCAGGCTTCGGGGGAGTTTCACGCAGTGAGGGGGGGCAGCCAAAGGAGGCACCGGGGGAGCAAGTCGGGAGCAGCGGAGAGAGTCGGGCAGGGTAACGGGGTCCCGGGGTCGCGGGGTCCCGGGGTGGTGGCGGAGACGTCGAAACGGTGCACGGCGAGGGCGGAGCGAGAGACAACGGGGCGAGTGGAAAGTGTGGGGGAGAGTGAAGGGAGCCGGAGGGGAGAGCTGACGCGCGGCGGTGGGGGACGAGGCGACTCGCTCGCTCGCTCACTCACCCAGGTCGTCCATTGGGTACGACGGGGAATGGAGGTGTCACAGGCGGACCGCAGAGCTCCTTGAAGAGAGAGTTTGGTGGTGGTGGTGGCTGAAGGTGGAGTCGTCGTTGTCGTCGCTACGAGCGAGTGGCTCCTCGTTAGTGGCGGGGAGTACGGGAAGACGAAATCACAGTCGCTGCTGCTGCTGCTGCTGCCGCTGACTCGACCATCACCGCAGCGTCGCCATCTTTGTGGCGGGGGGGGGGGGGGGTGTGTCGGGGGGGGGAGGGGGAAATCGCGCGCGGAGCGATACACGGCGGCCAACGACGAGCCCCAGAGGCGGGGGCGCGGCGGAGGGGAAGTAGTGCGCGGCGCGGGAGGGGTTGGTGGTGGTGGTGGGGAGGGAAAGTAGTGCGCGGCGCGGGAGGGGTTGGTGGTGGTGGGGGTGAAGCGGCCCGCGTGGGCGCGACCGTTACACCCCCACCCCCGCGGGGGTAGCAGCAGCAACAGCAGCGCAGCGATTGACAGCGCAAACTGAGGGGAAATATCACCTCATACGTTTAGTTATGCACATTTTAAAATACATGTTTGTTTGTTTTTTTTAAACCCTGCGGCTGGCGGCGTAGAATTATTGAAGTCACATTTCCCACGGGCTCACACTTTATTTACATTGCACACCGAAGGGGAGGGGGGGGACTGTGATGTAGGATGCGTTATGAAAAACTGTCGTACAATAATACCCTGTAGCTATCTGCATTTGTAAAACAATTTTGTTTTTCAGAAAATGCTTAACTTGTTGCTAGTGCCGTAGAATTCCTTAGGCGGCATTTCCCGTCAGCTCACACGGGATTCACATTGCAAACTGAGGGGAAAATATCGCTTAAGATAACGTCCCAGCGAAGTGGCTCATCGCGGAAGAAGTGTACAGAAGCAAAACACTCCAAACGCATGAAAAACAAATCTTTAACCTTTAACCCGTATCTCAAGAGTCCCTTTCGTACAAACAAAGTACGGCCCGTTCGTGAATCCACTGCTGGATGAGTCTTCACCTGATGAAGGCCGCTTGTGTTGTGGCCGAAACGTCGTGATTTTTGTTATTTTATTTTTTTACCTACGTGACTTTACCCAATAGAACCAAAGAGTATGGATGAGTCTTCCCAATGGCATTCGCGTCGTGAGGGGGATTGGACGGTTATTGCAGGCCCAGCATCTTTATCGAGACCGCAGGAGAAATCCGATGAGCTATGAAGCTCTTTCGTCAGAGACGTCCAGTAGGGGGGGCACGGGGTCAGCGAGTTAAGGCGGGTGAATGTGGGAGCATATACGTTGTAGGCGTAGCACATCACATCACGTTATTATTATAATAATACTTTGCTGACAACAATAACCCCTCGGCAGCACGTGACACGTGTCTCACTGTGGTCACCAACAACCCCACAACTGTGAAGTATGAACCAGGACCAACCCTCGCTAAGGGGCCGTCCATAAATGACGTCACGCGATTTTTGAACCCCCCCCCCTCGTCACACGGCGTCACAAAGTCAGACCCCCCCTCAAGTATGACGTCACAAAGCTCTGCCCCCCCCCCCCCCCAAAAAAAAACAAAAATAAAACATGCTTCAAATCATATTCTTAGTTTTTTCGGTAAAGTCACGTTGAGGAGAAACAACAAAATAACAAAATATATATTTTGTTATTTTGTTGTTTACTGTAGTCACGAAAGCTTTAAATCAAAATTTTATGCTTCAAATCGCTTTAAACTATTGTCATTGTAATGCGTATTTAATGTGCCGCTGCACTCTGATGTTGTAGGAGAAACATTTATTAAAAATTCTATTTAATTAAGTAGAACGTGTTGTCTATATTTATTTAAAGTTGCGCATTTTGATGTGACGTCACATTTCTCAACCCCTCTCGTCACAAATGTCTGACCCCCCCCTAGGTGCGTGACGTCATTTATGGACGGCCCCTTAACTTGCAAAGGATCTTTCGAGATCGGGGCCGCTATCTGGGCGATTGTGGTCGTGGGAAGCCGTTTTACATCAAATAAAATAGCCTTGGTGCAAGCTGAATAGGGACTTTATTTAAAAAAAATGTTAACAGTCAATTACTGTACTGTAATAATGAAATAACTTTTACCTCATAGGTTAAAAAAAGATAAAGGCGCACACGTGAAATTACAGCATTTGTTCATGCCACTGTTAATGGAGGTACCTCCACGGCAGTGGCACACAAACTTCACCCCACCACCACACGCGGCCTGCCTACCTCGCCTGGCACGCAGGAGGTCGTGGGTTCGATCCAGAGATGTTCACTACCTCGCCTGGCACGCAGGAGGTCGTGGGCTAGATCCCGAGATCTTTACTACCTCGCCTGGTATACAGGAGGTCGTGGGTTCAATCCCGAGATGTTCACTACCTCGCCTGGTGTACAGGGGGTCGTGGGTTAGATCCCGAGATGTTCACGACCTCGCCTGGTATACAGGAGGTCGTGGGTTAAATCCCGAGATGTTCACTACCTCGCCTGGCACGCAGGAGGTCGTGGGTTCGATCCAGAGATGTTCACTACCTCGCCTGGCACGCAGGAGGTCGTGGGTTCGATCCAGAGATGTTCACTACCTCGCCTGGCACGCAGGAGGTCGTGGGTTAGATCCCGAGATGTTCACTACCTCGCCTGGCACGCAGGAGGTCGTGGGTTAGATCCAGAGATGTTCACTACCTCGCCTGGCACGCAGGAGGTCGTGGGTTAGATCCAGAGATGTTCACTACCTCGCCTGGTATACAGGAGGTCGTGGGTTCGATCCCGAGATGTTCACGACCTCGCCTGGCACGCAGGAGGTCGTGGGTTCGATCCAGAGATGTTCACTACCTCGCCTGGCACGCAGGAGGTCGTGGGTTCGATCCAGAGATGTTCACTACCTCGCCTGGCACGCAGAAGGTCGTGGGTTCGATCCAGAGATGTTCACTACCTCGCCTGGTACGCAGGAGGTCGTGGGTTCGATCCAGAGATGTTCACTACCTCGCCTGGCACGCAGGAGGTCGTGGGTTCGATCTCGAGATGTTAACACCCTCGCCTGGCACGCAGGGGGTCGTGGGTTCGATCCAGAGATGTTCACTACCTCACCTGGCACGCAGGAGGTCGTGGGTTCGATCCCGAACCTGACGCCTGCTGCTGCTGCTGTAGATTTGGAGTCTGCGTCTCTCTCTTTCCCCGTGGTCACGTAATTTGGCTACTGTTGTACATTTCCACGCGACAAGCCAATTCGTTGGGCAATTATTTGTGGCCAGGTCGCTTCTGAAAAAGAGCTACATAGATCAGTGGGCCTTAGCTGGTTAAAAACAAAGTTTAAATAGTTTTTCGCGTAACCAATGTATGCTGCTGCTGTTAGGTGAACATAGCGACAATGGAGGGGGAATTAAAGCAACGTGCATCGTCGATTTCAGCTGCCGCTCACCGTTACACCACCGTCGTGGCAGTGCCGCCTTTACCAAACCATGAATAAAAATACAACTGTTCGTCATTGTCTCACTCGGCGTTCCAACAACAAAAACGTGTTGAGGCAAAACTCGGTTGAAGTAAATTGGTTTATTTTCCTTTATGATGCGAAACGGGGCCAACAAACTGTGAAAAATTGTACACGGCTCTCAATTGCTAAAAATACGAAACTTTAAACCGAACGCAGAAAAACAAGAACAAGCAACGCCATCGCTCGAGATTCGGCGGAGAGTTGAGAATGCAAGCCCCGCGATGGATCCCTTCCTTGCGCTATTAAGGGCCATCGCCCGAAACGTTGCCACTTCAAAAGTATATTTTAAATACCACGGTGTTGCTGACGATTGTGTGGAGTTTTTTTTTCATCCCATGCACGGATTTAAAATACAAACCGAGGCAGACATTTCCCCTCGGAAGTTTTGGTTTCACTGGGTGAGCGACTATCCCTGCAGAGCCGAGTGTAACACTCGCCAGCAATCACTGACCGGCAGATGTTTACATTGCAGCGCGCAGAGGCGTTGACAGACGTTGCCTGGACGTTCGAGCTCGAAACCAAACACCCGGCACGCCACATCCGGTATACCCCAGGGATTCATTTCTCACTCGATATTTTCTCTAAGACTGGCTTAGAGAATGGATAATCAGCTCACAGCGCGATTACCACGAGTACAATGCACGCCTATCCGTAATAATCCCATATTATTGTACAGCCTACATTCCTAATAATTGGAAGTATGGCACTATATTATTGTCCCATGGCAGGGTCAAGCATGGTTGGTAATGTACGCTGCGAAAGAAGTTCACCATACATACATAGTCTTTCAATTATGCAAATTCCGTTGTGGTCGTGGGGCGCCATGGTGAACTACCTCGCCTGGTGTGCAGGAGGTCGTGGGTTCGATCCCGATCCCGATCCCGACGCCTGCTGCTGCTGCTGTATATTTGTAGTTTGCGTCTCTCTCTCCTCGTGGTCGCGTGGATTTTATTCCAGGTCCTCCGGTTTTTCCTTCCACATTTAGAAACGGCATTTGTCCGATATATATATTTCGACATAAGCCACTTCGTTGAGCTATCATTTGTGGCCACGCCGCTGCGAAAAAGAGCTATAGAGCTCAGTGGGGCCTTACTTCGTAAAATAAAAAAAAATGCAGTGGTTTTCCCACCTGATGATTGCTTGTGTTGCAATCGAAACGTCGTGATTTATTTTATACCTACGTGACTTTACCGAAAGAACCAAAGAGTATGGATTCCTACAGTCACGAACGCTTCAAATCTAGATAGCAAAAAATTATAGACTTCCCCGCAAGCGGTACTCATTTGACTGACTCCGGAGGCAGGATGGGCCCCGAGTTAATCCCCATTGATAGCCACGACTGCAGGCCACCCAATCTCCTGTCGAGCCACCTGGCAGGGTAGCCACAATTATGGGTCACGGGGCGGGGGGGGGTTTGCTTCACCGTGCTGGTGAGTGAAATCAGAGAACATCGGCGTGGCAGCCTGGTACAGAACAATAGCTTTCTTCCCCCCCCCAGCAGTGCCCACCACGTGGTACCAACACACCGCGTAGGTAAACACGGCCGGCGTTCACTCGAGTGAATTTGAGCGAACCCGAGGGAAGGTCGGGTAGCACCAAGCTCCGACGCGTTTCTCGAGGAGGACCATTTCACTCTCGAGTACCGTTCCTCCGAAGCGTCAACGCAAGCGGCAAGAGAGCGGGCGACTCGCCATCCGAAAAGGTTGCGAGTTCAATTCCCGGTCGGAGGTTGACTCAACCTATCACAACTCTCCGCCAGTTGCCCTCTGGGGAGGGGGGGAGACTTGGCATCCGCCATGGGAACGTGGATTTCTCACCACTGCGTCGGAGGACTGAATGTTGAAGCAGGAAATCGATTTTTTACTTTTGAGTCAAGTGCCCTCACGTCAGAGTGCTCCGCTCCCAGCTGGAAGGACTCAAGTTTTAAATCTCAGTCGGGGTCAACTCAGCTCATCATCACTACCCTAATTATCATCCCTCTACAGATCATGGTAAGTCAAGTGATCCTCTAAACGGCAAGACTGGCTCCAGCCATGGGAATGTAGAATTTCCGACCCCCCCCCCCCCACTCAGTGGCTGCAGGGCGGACACGGGAGATGAGTGCAGGCCGAACCACCTGCTGCGAGCACGGAGGACAACGTTTCACCTCCTTTCCCACAGCACAAGTCGAGCCGCGCTGGGGCCGTGCCGAGGCCAGCCTGGCCCAGCGCGGCCCAGCGCGGCCCAGCCCGGCCCAGCCCGGCCCAGCCCGGCCCAGCGCGGCCCAGCCCGGCCCAGCCCGGCCCAGCCTGGCAGGCGAGACGCGGCAACGTTACTGCAAGAGCCGAGAGAGTCGTGCCGCTTAAAACATTTGCACACAACCAACGAGTCCCTGGCGAGCCAGACTGGGACGCTTCGGGGGACCAGCGGCACATCGCGATTTGGTTCCGCCACGCCGAGGCAAAGGAAAAAGAGGCGGTGGGGGAAAAAAAATCAACGGCTCCTTGCGAGCCCCCGCAGCTGGGGCCGAGACGTTGAGGCACAACGGTCCGGCAAAAAAAAACACAAGCGCGACGAAAAAAACTCGCAAAAAAAAACCCCGCAACAACGGCCGACATCCAACTGGGCACTTTGACGCTTTAATCTCAGCGCGTGGACTCCCTGGAGTGGACGGCAACTCGACAGCGAGTCGACGCTGCGGTATCGGCACGGCACGTTGTTGTTGTCGTTGCGGCAGGACTGCCCGGGCAAACGTCACGGGCACACTAGTAGATGATTTGGTCAAGAGCATTCGAATCAGACGGGCGAAAGTTTCCACGTGTCTTCCAAGCTCCTGCGCACATCACAACAAAGACAGAGATCCTCCATATAGCGTCAACATATTTCTGTTAAGCGAGTAGGCCGGCACGTCACGGCACACGAGGGGGTAGGTGGCCAGCACCACACCCAGTTGCCTTTGGCTAACCAGTGGCGATGTTTACACACCGCACCAGGTACTCATCTGAGACCGAGTTGACCTAGGGGAGGGGGGCCCAGGACCGGTTCAGACAATCCGTCATTGGTGTTGGCCGTGAACGGGAATCGAACACAAAGAACACGGACACACGGACACACAATCAGACACACAGCGTTACAGGTCTCCAACGTGTTTTATTGTTTGTTGCCGGGGCACTGTTCAGCACGATGTCGGACGTTCCGCTCCACGTGCTGGGAGCTTCTTTCTTCTCCCTGAAGCTCCCAGCATGTGGGGCAAAACGTCGGACGTCATTCCGTACAACCGGAGACAACCCACGGTAACCAGCGTCATGAGGCAGATGCACAGGAGAGTCCCGAATCGGGGAGCTTGCCCGCCGCCGTTCAGGAGCGGGTCAGGTCGCGTTCATCGCGTCGCGACCCTCGGGTAGCCACGAATACCCGCCGGTTGTAGCCACGAATACCCGCCGGTTGTAGCCACGAATACCCGCCGGTTGTAGCCACGAATACCCGCCGGTTGTAGCCACGAATACCCGCCGGTTGTAGCCACGAATACCCGCCAGTTGTAGCCACGAATACCCGCCGGTTGTAGCCACGAATACCCGCCGGTTGTAGCCACGAATACCCGCCGGTTGTAGCCACGAATACCCGCCGGTTGTAGCCACGAATACCCGCCGGTTGTAGCCACGAATACCCGCCGGTTGTAGCCACGGGCTGCCACAGGTATCCATGGGGAGCCACGGGTACACCCGTTAAGGTACAGAAGTGAAACAAAGAGCTCTTGCCAAGTAGACCGGCAGAAGCGAGGACATTCATTTAAACCAGGGGTCACCAAACTACGGCCCGCGGGCCGGATTCGGCCCGCGACGTCAGTCCATCAGGCCCGCCGACGGTACTTGAATTTGTTTGATAAAACGTATGGAACACGAGACGTTGTGATACAATTTAAATTTTATGTTTAGAATACTAGGAGATCTTCACGCGTGCGGAGACCTCCTGACTGCTATGTTCCTTAAATTTACTATTTTAAATTTAAAATTATTGTATCTAGATTTTCTTGTTTATCGTGATGTTTGCTTATTTCGCACCATCCCAAGTACTTCCCCGGCTCGTGGTAGCTCCGCCTACGCTCTGACGTTACCATGGTTTCCATGGCAACGTCATGGCAACACGTTACCATGGTTTCCATGGCAACACACACAAACACGCATCTTTCCCGCCCCAAGATTTTCCAGCTGTCAACACAGGTCCGACGCTCCAGAAATATTTATTTATTATGCGGCCCACGCTCGTCATTCTTTCAGTTATCCGGCCCACTGTGAAAAAAGTTTGGTGACCCCTGATTTAAACTAACGGTGATTAATATTTGTGCACCGTTTTCAACTTCTCTGCAGTTGCTTTTGCGCCGGTTGCCGTTCGCTTCACCGTCGTGCTCGTTGTTATCGCTCCTCCCTCTTGTTTGGCGACCCCCCCTCCCCCCATCTCCCGGTCACCCTTTGCCAACGAGATTCGAACGGCCGTCCACTGGAGTTGTCACCCGAGTCAAACCAAATCAAGTTTCAAACCCTCACCATTTCAGCTGCAGGTACTCGGTGTGCTGTTCCATCAACGCCATCTCCGCTTCAACATCCGAGTCGTTGGAATCGTCCGTGGAATCCGGAGCCTGCGGACGGAGGACGCGAGATCACCCCAATGTCGCGCCAACTTCGCGCCACGTTCGTGACATCGCACCAACATCGCACCAACATTGTATCAACATCGCACCGACATCGTGACATCGAAGCAACACCGCTCCAACGTCGTGCCAACATTTCGTCAGCGTCACGTCACCATCATCAAAGTTTTCGATACGAGGGCTGGTTGGCTGTGCGCGAGTTCGTCTGCTCTTGGCAGGGTTCACGTTGGCTGCCAAAGACTCCTCGGTTTGCAAATACCGATCGGTGTCCCGAATCGCCAGCACACCTTGGACCACAGGGGCCTCGGAGAAACCGTTCGCCCGTTAAACCCAGCGACTCTTTTAACACCGCGATGGGAGGGAAAACCTTGATCTGCTGTCCATTGCGTGGGCGACTTTTACAAAAAAAGGATCTCGGACAATGTTGCATCGGAGAAGACAAATAACTAAGTACAGGCACACACAGCATAAAGCGCTCAGGGTGCATTCCGGGTCAACGGAGCGCTGTACCAAACAGCGCTATAGGAGGTGACTACAACACGGTTCAAATAGAGATGTGTTACCTAGAGCCCTATAGGAAACAGCGCTATAGGAGATCACTATAACACGGTTCCAATGGAGACCCATTACCCTCAGCGCTATAGGTCACTATAACACGGTTCCAATGGAGATGCGTTATTAACAGCCATATAGGAAACAGCGCTATAGGAGGTCACTGTAACACGGTTCCAGTGGAGATGCGTGACCTACAGCTGTATAGGAAACAGCGCTATAGGTCACTATAACACGGTTCCAGTTGAGATGCGTGACCTACAGCTCTATAGGAAACAGTGCTATAGGTCACTATAACACGGTTCCAGTGGAGATGCGTTATTAACAGCGCTATAGGAAACAGCGCTATAGGAGGTCACTATAACACGGTTCCAGTAGAGATGCGTGACCTACAGCTCTACTTTTTTTTTACCGATGAGCGATGATATACGAGGACTTCATTGGGGTATCGGTAAGAGCCTTAATAATGATACTGTACACAGGATAAATGTATAGGCATTTTATAAATAAAAATAATAACTTGCGTAAGATTAACCACCGTCGGCTGTAACCACATGCTCCGCGGCAAGCGATACAGCACTAACCGATGGGATTACTCGATCCATAGATCGCCAATGAATTGATGCAGCGATTAACCCTCGATGAATGGCTCCTCTAACGGGTCCGTGAGCAGAATCGATACGACAGACACCTCGATTCGGGTTCCACAAGACCACGTGTGGGCATAGACACGCCCCTACGGACAACGCCACGCCTACTCGCTTCCCTATATGGGGGACCGGTCAGCGCAGGAACTTTCCTTCAGGACAAAGAGCGTTACAGATAACTCAACAGCGTTGTAAGAGGTGTGCCTGTATTGCAGGCGGTGTCGTGTACAGGGACTCCTCTACATACGAACATTCGACTTACGAACTTTCAGAGATACGAACAAAGCTGTCCGTATGTCCAGTCGTGTGTTCAACCGCCGCGCAATAGGTGGTGGTGGCATCTATGCCTGCAGTACATGAAGAACCAGTGGCATCTACATCTATAGCAGATTACACAACTAAAGCCATTTCCCCGTGTTTAGTGTACACGCCATAACAACATGTTTAGAATCGACGGGAGTAAAGTTGAACTTACGAACAAATTGACTTACGAATAGACCTCTGGAACCTAACTCGTTCGTAAGTAGAGGAGCCCTTGTAGTTTGCTGTTCCTCCTCCTCTGTTGAAGGAGTGCAGGCTAGAGTGGTTTCACCGTACGGGTCCACAGTTTGGGTTATTGATTGTTTGTTGAGTTTCTGAGTGTGACTGCGCCAGGATTGGGCAAGGACACGGAAGCAGCACTCTTCACCCAGGGCAACGGGAGAGCACACACTGGGATCATTCTCGACTTGACCCCCTTACAACAATCACAAATGCTTAAGAATGCACAATTTGAAAAAAATCAAACATACAATTCAGAAGAATTAACAAAATCGGACCTTTTGGGGGGTAGTGCGGGGGGGTGGGGGGAAGTGCGGGGGGTGGGGGGAAGTGCGGTGGGGTAGCGTAAAACGAAAGACGAGTAACCGCGCCTCTCAACGCTCGTTTGGGAGACTCGTGTGTGTGTGTGTGTGCGTTGAACTTCTTTCGCACCGTACGTAGCCAGCCGTGCTAACGGGAGGTGCGGACTCCGGAGAGTGAGAAGAGGGGGGGGGGGGGAGTGGCGATGTCTTTCGGCGACAACCTCGGGCGGCGTGGCGCCGCTCGCTTACCGCGGGGTGCACCGCCTGCACAGTCGCCTCCGGGTACGGCTCGGCCGTGACGGCCGACTGCAGCAGGTGGCAGTAGGACAGCCACTGCCGGTGTCCCAGCCGCCAGAGGAGCGAGCATACGCTGCACGCGCACACACGAAGACAGGGATCCCCCCCGTATACAACCTTAACAGACTGTTGGGCAAGTGCTATGAAGCACGTGTGAAGGCCGGCACGGCACGCGAGGGGGTGGTTGGCCAGCACTACGCCCGACGGCACCAAGTACTCATTTTAGGCCGAGTAGACCTAGGGGAGGCCCAGGACGGGTTCAGATAATCGTCACCGGTGTTGGCCGTGAGCGGGAATCGAACCCGGGTCGCCGGGTTCGTAGCGCAGCGTAGCGCTAACCGCTACGCTACCGCTCCACTACGCACCGACACACACAAACAGTGCAAGACCCCAGTTTAAATGCTCGTCTAAACGAACTACACGAAACAGCGCAATGCAAGATCCGAGGTCTCCTCCAACCGACCCCCGCGGCCACCGCGCCTGGCACGCGCAAGGGGCACGCGCAAGGGGCACGCGCAAGGGGCACGCGCAAGGGGCACGCGCAAGGGGCACGCGCAAGGGGCACGCGCAAGGGGCACGCGCACTACTCACTCGACGACGGGGTAGAGCGCCACGGCGGACGTCTCGGGCGCCACCCCGGCCACGCCGCGCGACGCCAACTCCTCGAAGAGACCAGGCCACGAGCTTCGTGGCAGCGCCAGCACCGCCGCGTGGGGCTGCGGGCAAGCGGCGCACGACAACGGGACGACGTTGGGACACGCGAGACGGAGCGCGCCGCGGGGCAGAGCAGCTACTGAACGGGGATAAGCGGAACACCGCGTCATCGCCATCGCCGCGTGCCGCGTTCAAGATGCGCCGCTTCTGCGGCCGTCTGGAACGCCTCTTCCGCTTCCGATATTAAAGAAGCCACTGCAGTTGTACTTTGATATAATCATTTAGATTGGCAAAACTCATTTCTTTAGAATAGATTTTCTGTGTTTGGTTTGTTGTCCCCCTGCACCTCTCGTCAGCATGGTTCAACATACTTCACATGACACTATACGCTCCACTTTTATACACTACACTATAACATACACTACACCACGATACTACATTGAGAACGAATTTCTTTAGAACTGCTTTTCTGTGTTTAGTTTGTTGCCTTTCCCCCATACCTCCGATTAGCCACGGTTGGCTACGTACGGCGCGAAAGAAGTTCAACGTGCACACACGTACGTACAATGCGGGCTCGCATACAGGGCGACGGGCAAAGCATCGGGCGTCGCCGGTGCCGTCAACTCAAGCGGCCGGTGGGCCGCGACCGCCCTTTTACCGATTGGCAGTCCCCGAGTTGTGAGATGGGGACCGTGCGATCCGGGAAGAGCACGGAGGAGACTTCTGACTCGATGCAGAAGCTCCGAGACTTCCAGAAGACGACGTGGACGTGGCACGTGCCTCCCAGCTCCACCCTGGCGTGGAGCGGGCGGGGGCAGTGCAGCAGACGCACGTGCGTACACAATCACAATATTGATTCACACTGGAGGAATCCGATCGAGCTATGAAGCTCTTTTGCAGTTTCACACGGAGGCTTTCGCGACTAATATTACCCACAGAGGTGTCTGTTGGGATCGCGTGAATATAAATGTGTCGTTAAACCCGCAACCAAAACGTGCCAATTAGTCCCGAATTCAGCACACCGGTGTGTTGGAGAGTAAACGCACTACAACTTTTACCGTGACGTTTCCCCGGTAATAACAACAACAAGCAGCATCATCAGGCGACAGCCAGATTTGTGGATAAATCCTTCTCCTGTTTCGGTCTTTTTCACAGTTGTCAAGTAGGGGCGGGTCAGGACAATAAAACAACAATACAAACACACGATAGGAGTGCACAGTAGAGGAAAAGTAAAAAAAAAATCACTTAAAAAAATAAACATAAAACTCCATTATTTTTTATTTCACCACGTAAGGTCCACTGAGCTATGTAGCTCTTTTTCAGGAGTGGCCACGAAGTGGCTGATCACGTGGACATTTATAGCAATAGCAAAATATACTGAACACGTGTTGATGCCGATTCCAAATGTGCAGGGAAAAACCGGAGGACCCGGAGGCAGAGAAAGAGACGCAAACTCCAAATATACAGCAGCAGCAGGCGTCTGGGTTGGGATTGAACCCACGACCTCCTGTAGACCAGGCGAGATAGTTAACATCTCGGCACCGTGGCGGGGGCGATCCATGGCGTGGCGTGCCGACCGTGACACCGCGGCAGCGGCGTCGCAGTCCAACGGGACCGCTGCTCCACCGCCCTCTACTGCTGGCAACGGAGCGCGATCTCGCGCGCCGCGCAGCACACACGCCCGCGGAGGGACACTCACCTTTTGACCTTGAACGGCGTGCTGCGCGGTGCGTCCGCGTGGGCCGCGGGGCCACCGGAAGGCGGCGGCGGCGGCGGCGGCGCAGCAGCGTGTGGACCTATGGACTCCGCAGTGACGGCGAGCCACGCGGCTTTGGATTTGTCAGACGAGCTTTGCGGCAGGGCTGTCGCCGCCGTCAACGACGACGACGACGGCGCTGTTGTTGGTGGCACGCGGGCGCCATCATATAAAGCAACCGCTGTAGTTGGCGGTTGGCCGACCGTGGCGAGCGAGCCGACAGGCTCCTCCGTGCCGGGCCGGAGCACGGCCTGGTGGTCGTCCCGGCCTGGCGGGCGAGCCGCCGGTGGCGGGCCGAACGACCGTCTGCTGCACAGGCCGGGGCCGTTGCAGGCGATGAACGCTGCCAACCGGGCACAAGTCTCGGTGAACCCTGGCGCTGCAGGCGCTCCCTGTCCACTCGAGCCGGAGCTCCCACCGCCATCACCGCCACCTCCACCGCAGGGGGTGGACGCAGGCGCGCTTGCGTGGGACGATGTGAAACTTAGCGCAGAGACGGCTGTGGAATTCTTGAAACCGGGAGCCGAGGCCGGGAGTCGGTAGTTTCGTTCCGAAGGGAAAACCGGAGACCGGGGGGGATCGGTGGTGGCGATGGTGGTGGTGATGGGCGAGGGCGGTGAAATCTCGGAGTGGCCGAACGGCGACACGGCCACGGTGCCGTGCCCGCCAATGGCTCCACTTGGCAGAGGGGCCACCGGTCGGTCTAACGAGACGGGCGCGCCAATCAGGCCGTCGTCCCAACGGTCCCAGAGAACCGGGGCTGATGCCGCACCCGCAATGGGAGCACGTGGTGTTGACGTCGGAGGCGGCGATGTCGGTGGCAATGGCGGTGATGTTGGTGGTGGTGGTGGTGGTCGTGAGCCCACCCAGTAGGGGACGGTTTCCTCCGGGCCCGCGCGATCGCTGGCCGCTTGCAAATATCTCCAGTAGGGGTGATCATCACTCAGGCCCTGCGGGGAGAGAGACGAGAGAGATGATCGGCGTTGAAATGCATTGTGTGCGGCCTACGTAGGCTGCTGGGGACAGCGGTTCAAGAGCATTTATTAAGGCCCGAACGGTGCAGGATGGGATGGTGTGGCCAGCACGACTGCCCGGCCTTTGTATCCCCAGCGCTGAACTTGACACGCCGCACTAGGTATTAATTTATGGCCGAGTCGACTAATCAGACTCAGTATTTATACCGATGAACTATAAAGCTCTTTTGCACAGGTGTCCAGCAGGGGCACGGGGTCAGAACGTTACAACAGCAAGCAGTACAAGAACATGAGAGGCGAAACACCCGGGACCGGTTCAGACAATCATCACCGGCGTTGCTTGTGAGCGCAGAAATCGAACGCGAATCACAGAGTTCGTAGCGCAGCGTGTTGACCGCTGCACCACCGCTCCCCACAATCAAACACAAAGATTCCTCCTCCCCCCACCCTCTACGGCCTTGTATCATCGGAATATTCATTTATACTGGAAGAGGAATCCGATGAGCCATGAAGCTCTTTTTCACCGATGCCCAGTGAACGGGCTTGTTGGGGCGAGAGCTGTCCACGAGAACTTCCTCAGAAGAAGACCGGCACGGCACGCGGCCGAGGATGGGGTGGGTCTGGAGGTGGGGTTGGCGTGGTTCAAGCATCGCCACTCCAGGTGGAGTTTCTTTCTGGCCACACCACGCACGTGAAGCCCGGGCCACGCGCCCGCTGCCCCCGACGCCCCCCCCCCCGCCCCCGCCCCCGCTCCCCCCCCTACCTGGTAGCAGTCGTTTTTGGGGTGCACGGCGAGCGCCAGGCCCAGGCTCACGAAGAGGTCGTTGAAGTGAAGGTCTTCGCTCTGCATCGTGTCGCAGAGGCAGAGCGAGAGCACGTCGTGCCGCGTGGAGCACACGATCGCCATGAGCACGCGGTCGTGGCACAGCTGCAGGAAGAGGCGCCGCGAGGTGGTGCACCAGGAGCCCTGTGGGGGGCGGGGTGGGGGGGGCGCACGAGAGGGAACGTGTGTGTGTATGTACGTAGAACTTCTTTCGCTCCGTACGTGGCCGACCGTGTTAATGGCAGGTACGACGTGCAGCGGATGCAAGGTTGATGAGACACACGGGGGACATGAGGGAACACGCGGGGGACACACGGGAACGTATTAATCCATTGTCCTCCTGCCAGCAGGGGAGCCTTCTGCACTTGACGGCCGCAAGGTGCACCTAGCCCGGCGCAAGCTTTGGCCGCCGTAGCTGCCGTTGGAGCGTGCGAGCGAACCGAGGTGTGCGTGTGTGTGTGGGCGTGCGTGTGTGTGCATGTGTGTGTGTGTGGGCGTGTGTGTGTGGGCGTGTGTGTGTGTGTGCGTGCGTGTGTGCGTGTGTGCGTGCGTGTGTGCGTGTGTGCGTGTGAGTGCGTGCGTGTGTGTGTGTGTGCGTGTGTGTGTGTGCGTGTGTGCGTGTGTGCGTGTGTGTGTGTGTGCGTGCGTGTGTGTGTGCGTGTGAGTGCGTGCGTGTGTGTGTGTGTGCGTGTGTGTGTGCGCGTGTGTGTGCGTGTGTGTGTGTGCGTGCGTGTGTGCGTGTGTGCGTGTGTGCACGTAGACCCACGGCACCCCGCGTGACGCCGTGGCCACACGCACCTCCGCTGGCGCGACGCAGGCGAGTCGAGCCGGCACCGCCTGCGCTGGCAGCGAGAAGAAGGCGCACCTTCACACCGCACAGCAACCACGGCAACCATTACCACCACACGACAACCACACAGCCACAACCACACTATAACCAATACAACCACGATACAACCACACTTCAACTAATACAACCACATTACGACCAATACAGCCACTACAACCACTCTACAACCACACTGGGTGGGGAGGGGGGCTGTGGAGTCTGTGGGGTAGGCATGGAGTTTGTGGGGGGGGGGGTGAATTGGGGGTGGCGTGGAGTGGGGGGGGGGGGTGTGGAGTGGGGGGGGGGGCATAGAGTGGGGGGGGGGCATAGAGTGGGGGGGGTGGCGTGCAGTGGGGGGGGGGGGGCGTGGAGTGGGGGGGTGTGAAGTGCGGGTGGGTGGAGTGGGGGGGGCGTGGAGGGGGGGGCGTGGAGGTGGTAGGTCTTGGAGTGGGGGCGGTGTGGAGTGGGAGGGTGGAGTGAGGGGGGGCGTGGAGTGGGGGGGGCATGGAGTAGGGGGGGGGGTTCGTGGAGTGGGGGGGGCATGGAGTGGGGGGGGGGCGTGGAGTGGGGGGGGCATGGAGTGAGGGGGTGCAGTGGGGGGGGGCATGGAGTGGGGGGGGGGGGGCGTGGAGGGGGGGGGAGGGTCGCGGTGGGCGCTCTGCGCGAGTCTCCCACGGCAGTAGGCGGAGGTGGTGGAGCGGCACGGCGCCCATCTGGCCGTAGTCCACGTAGTAGACGGGCACCGTGCCATCGGCGCCCGGCGGGCCCAGCAGCACGGAGCGCTCCCACTCGTCGTCGCTGAAGGCGGCGCACGCCTGCCCCTCCAGCGCCATGGCGGCCGGCAGCGCGTACAGAGCGCCGGTGTCGGGGCTCGCGTACAGTCGCCTGCGCGGGGGCGGTGATGGGCGAGCAGGAGAGCGGTGAGCGCGACCGGTACGAGTGTGTGCGGCGAGCAAGAGGGTGAGCGGTGAGAGTGACTGATATGAGTGGTGAGCGTGACTGGTAGGAGTGAGCGGTGAGCGTGACTGGTAGGAGTGAGTGGTGAGCGTGACTGGTAGGAGTGAGTGGTGAGCGTGACTGGTAGGAGTGAGCGGTGAGCGTGACTGGTAGGAGTGAGTGGTGAGCGTGACTGGTAGGAGTGAGTGGTGAGCGTGACTGGTAGGAGTGAGTGGTGAGCGTGACTGGTAGGAGTGAGCGGTGAGCGGGAACCTACAACCTGCAACTTGCAGGTGTCTCGGAACGAGTTAAAAGCTACGCACTGCTATTAAAGTATGGCGCTACTGGCATTCTTCACAAGGCGCTGACGAAGCCGTCCTTCATGGTCACAGGTTCACCCCTCGTTTGTGGGTGCATTGCAGTACCCACCACAACCACTACAACCGCTACGTGCCCCTCGACCCCGCACCTACCCACCGAGCCCCCCACCTACCGCCCTAAGCCCCCACCTACCCGCCACCCGCCCCCAACCTATCCCCCCCCCCACTCACTTCATTTCCAACACCAGGTCCTCCAGGGCCTCGCTCGTGTCCATGCCGTAATTCTGCACGAAGAACTGCCCCGGCGAGTCCATGTAGGAGACGTAGAGGGGACACATCGAGTACTCGCGGGCCACCACCGCGTGCCGACGGAACCGCAGGCCGGGCCCCACCCCGTCCACCGGCCACGCGGGACACGGTGCAGCGGGAGACCGTGGCGTGGGAGACGGCGCAGCAGTGGACGTTCGGGCGCAAGACTGTGCAGCAGTAGACAGTGCAGCAGTAGACACTGGAGCAGAATACTGTGCAGCAGTAGACAGTGGAGCAGTAGACAGTGGAGTAGAATACTGTGCAGCAGTAGACAGTGCAGCAGAATACTGTGCAGCAGTAGACACTGGAGCAGAATACTGTGCAGCAGTAGACAGTGGAGCAGTAGACAGTGGAGTAGAATACTGTGCAGCAGTAGACAGTGCAGCAGAATACTGTGCAGCAGTAGACAGTGGAGCAGAATAATGTGCAGCAGTAGACAGTGCAGCAGTAGACAGTGCAGCAGAATACTGTGCAGCAGTAGACACTGGAGCAGAATAATGTGCAGCAGTAGTCACTGGAGCAGAATAATGTGCAGCAGTAGACACTGGAGCAGAATAATGTGCAGCAGTAGACACTGGAGCAGAATACTGTGCAGCAGTAGTCACTGGAGCAGAATAATGTGCAGCAGTAGTCACTGGAGCAGAATAATGTGCAGCAGTAGACACTGGAGCAGAATAATGTGCAGCAGTAGTCACTGGAGCAGAATAATGTGCAGCAGTAGACACTGGAGCAGAATAATGTGCAGCAGTAGACACTGGAGCAGAATAATGTGCAGCAGTAGACACTGGAGCAGAATACTGTGCAGCAGTAGACACTGGAGCAGAATAATGTGCAGCAGTAGACACTGGAGCAGAATACTGTGCAGCAGTAGACACTGGAGCAGAATACTGTGCAGCAGTAGACAGTGGAGTGGAAGAATGTGCAGCAGTAGACAGTGGAGCAGAATAATGTGCAGCAGTAGACACTGGAGCAGAATAATGTGCAGCAGTAGACACTGGAGCAAAATAATGTGCAGCAGTAGACATTGGAGCGGAAGAATGTGCAGCAGTAGACATTGGAGTGTAAGAATGTGCAGCAGTAGACTGTGGAGCAGAATACTGTGCAGCAGTAGACAGCGGAGCGGGAGACACTGCAGCAGTAGATGGTGCAGCGTGCGTGGCGACACAGCCATTGCTCGCTCGCAAGGGTCGAGCAGAAGGGGCTCGTCCATTGGCGGTGTGGGCGCGCTCCTGTAAGGGAGGAGGGGGGGGGGTGGTGCTGCTCGTGTACCAGGCCTCACCCACAAGCCATCATCGCCGTCGCAACGACGGTCGGCTGCGAGGGCCTCCGTGCCGAGCCGGGGCGACGTGCGATCCGAAGCCGCGACAAATCACTCAACCGCAGCGGGAGGGGGGGGGCCACTGGCACGATTTTCATCGCAATTATCTATGATCATGATCTACGCTTCCATAACCAGCATAGGCTCACGGAGCCTCAAGAACCTTTTTCAGGTAGGTCCTGCACACAGTTTTCCCAGTGGGTTCGGACGACGATCGCCGCCGAGTGTGAGATTCCTCACGAGCCATCTTTTGGGGGACAATTTTTTTAAACTCGCCGTTACTTGGAGCGTCGCTCGATGGCGCCGACTCTTGCGGGTGACGTCACGGGACCTTGAACGCGTCCAACTCCGCCACGGTGGCTAGGAGATGTTAACTACATCGCGTGGTATACAGGAGGTCGTGGGGGTTCGATCCCGACCCTGACGGGTGCTGCTGTATATTTGGAGTTTGCGTGTCTCTCTCTCCCCATGATCGCGTAAGATTTGCCTCCGGGTCCTCCGGTTTTCCCCTCCAAATTTACAATCAACGTCACCACGTGTTCAGAGTGTTTGGCTGCTGCTATAAATCTACACGTGATGAGCCGCCACTTCGTTGAGATATGATTTGTGATAGCTCAGTGGGGCCTTACTCGTTAATTTTTTTTAAATACATATAGTTAATTGCGAATGAAACAAATGGCGCGTAGTGTTAAAGCCACGGTTAGTACAAACCGCAGTACCGCACAGTAATGCCTCGGTTAACGAAGCCTCTTTGAATGAAACGATCAGGAAGGGGTCTCCTTCACCCCCCCCTCTCTATCTTTTAAAAACGAATCAAACAAATATATATTCTTAGTTTTTTCGGTAAAGTCACGTTGAAGGGAAACAACAAAATAATAAAATATATATAAAACAATAAAAAATTCTCACGACGTTTCGACCATAACTCAAACGGTCGTCTTCAGGTGTGTTGAAGACGACCGTTTGAGTTATGGTCGAAACGTCGTGAGAATTTTTTTATTGTTTTATATATATTTTATTATTTTGTTGTTTCCCTTCAACGTGACTTTACCGAAAAAACTAAGAATATGAATTACTGCAGTCACGAAAGCTTTAAATCAAAATTTGAATCAAACAAATATTTAGAAATCACGTAAAGCGATTTCATAGTGAAAATGTGAACGACCCGTGCGCCCTGTAAATACGGCCTGTTCTTCTGCAACAACCGCCGCGCGGTGTTTACACAACACTAACTGGATAGATTCGCGCAATGACGAGTGCGTTAGGGAACATTTTTTGTTTCATAACGCGGACGCAAAAAGGCTATAACGCGATCGAGTGAACCTAACGACACGTCTCAGCGCGAGCAGGAATAAGCGGTCGTGTGGCTGTCTCAGTGTAGCATGCGCATTGGGGATGCTTCTGGACGCTGCCCACCCATGAGCCCCTCGGTCTTTGTTCGGCCTGCGCACGCACCTCGCGCGCGTTACCGTGGACTGCGCGCTTTGCCCTCCGTTTTTTTATTTTAACGCGATTTTTTCCATAACGCGGAGTTCTTCAGCGAGGCAACAACGAATACTACCGCCGGGTTATCGGCGTGCAGACGGTAGAAGCGGGTGTGGTGTTTGTTTTCCTTCTCAGCAGCCCATCGGCGAACATCTTCCCCCGAGTCTTCCCTCCCCCGCCCGCCGCCCATTGCTGGAGATGATCGCGTGTTGGTAACAAAAATTGTTCACGTAATTTTAATTTTTCAGCGATGTTTTAGTTTAGCCCCATTGTGTAATCCCAACGACCATCGAGGCCTTACTGGGCAACCTGCACAGCGTCATCCCATCTCTTCGGAACCGAAAATGCAGATCATCAGATAGCTGTGGCACTACTACGCATATTGGCAGAAGACAGAGAGGATAGTGGAAACAAATGATGAAATGTGATGATGATGATGACGTACGGGCCTGTACGTACATAATCATCAAAAATATCAAAGCTTTTTAAACAGGTCCTTATATTTATATATACATGGCTAAAAACACATTTTGTGCATGCGATTGTAAACAGTTTTGTTTCCCAACCTCTCTGCAGGCGGGCAGCTGGGATGGATTTTGAAAACAGCTCGACGATCTGTGGATGCCCTTGGTGACGTGGGGTACCTGTCGACTTGCCTCAGCGGCTGCAGAGTCCTCTACTCGCGCACACGCACGCACAAACGCAGGCACACGGAGGGACAGCACCCGGTTACAGCGCCATGCATAGGGAGCGCGGGTCTCGCGAGCACACGCCGTGCCCCCAACGCCGACGCGCAGCACCGGGCCTGCCATCCAAACCCGCTGCTACTTTTGAGGCCCTCCACCAGATTCGGTAGATCAAAGGGCAACTGGCCAAAGATGGGGCTGGAGGCAGCATCATCCTTCCCCCACGCTGCGGCGGCAATAGGGGTCGAATGACCATACTTCAGCTTCAGCTTGGCGTGCGCCCGTGAACATCCTTGCAAAAGAACGAGATGTTCCATCTCGTGAAGTTCCGGCACAATTGGCCATCGAGGCGTTGGTGCTCACATCTTCCGTTTACAGCACCCGAGCCGGCGATGGAAATTACACATTCCTACGGCGGGAGCGAGTTCCCCGCAAGGTGGTGCTCGTTCTGCGGCCCATGGGCGTTGAAGCGCCGTTAACTCAAATTGTAAACGTTGGGGGTTTGCTCTCTAACACACCGGGTGTGCTGAAGTAGCCACCAAACGGCACGTTTTCTTCACGAGACAAACCTTAGCAATTGGCTGTGTTGTATGTGTGTGTGTACGTTCAAATTCTTTCGCACCGTACGTAGCCAACCGTGCTAAATCGGAGGTGCTGGGCTAATCGGAAGTGCAGGTGGAGGTAGGTTTAGAAATGACGTTGTCACGAAGAATATTGGCAGGTGAAAGCCCACGAGTTAAATAAATGACACGTGTGTGCGTGTGTGTGTACGTCTCATCGGAATGGGCGGCGGTGGACAGAAGAGGTGCCGCGCAGGCTGCGGCGTGGACACCGTGCAGGAGGAAGTTTACCACCGGAGCCACCCCGCGAGGAGGGGAGGGGGGGGGGGTGCTTGGAAACGGGGGACTCACTCTTGGGGTGGCGGCGGGGATGTTCCGCTATCCTGACGACGAAATCGCCATTGGGCGTGGGCGCGAGGTCGAACGCCACTCCCAGCGCGGACACGAGTGCACAGGCGCTCGTGAACCCCAGGCGAACCATGGGCAGCTCGGAGCCATAGGCAGCCTGCACGCACGCACACAATATCGTAAGCGTGTACACTGAAATTCTTTCGCACGGTACGTAGCCAACCGTGCTAAATCGGATGGTGCGTACAGATACCTATGCTGACAGACAGGATCGGCTGGAGGAATCTGAGCTATGGAGATTTTTTTTCACAGATGTCCAATGCACATATAAAGGACAGAGACAAAGATCCACCGTATAGCCTTAACATACTTTTGGGGCAAGTGTTGCTCGTGAACACCGATGAAGGTTGGCACGGCACACCATGTGCGTGGGTGGCCAGCAACACGCCCGGCCGCCTTTGTCTCCCCCAGTTGCGATGTTTATTACACACCGCAACAGGTACTAATTTGAGGCCGAGTCCACCTAGGGGGAGGCCCAGGACCGCATCAGATAATCGCCGCTAATATTGCCCGTGAGCGGGAATCGAACTTGGGTGGCCGGGTTACACTACCGCTCCCCACGCGCACGCACACGCACAAATACGCACGCTCGCAAAACACAATTACCTTGAACTTGGAAGGCAGCTGAGAGGCCAGGATTCCGTCCCGACTCTCGGACACCATCTGTCACCGCGGGCACAGCGTCACGAAGGGTGGGGGGGGGGGGGGTCGCGCGTCTCACCTGGCCGGAGGAACACCTCCCCGCGGCGTGTCAGCTCACCGGAGGTTTTGTTTTATCATACTTCACCGCGCGGGTACGTGCCGCGGGATCGAAGCGACTGTCGTCCACGTGCCGCTCCGGAGCCCAACCGTGCTACGCTGGCCTCGCAGGCAAGGGCCGTGTTGTTACTTACTATTATTGACAACTTTTTATTCTACCAGTAAGTGTGCACCGTGTTGAAATTTGTTCACACCGTACCGTGCGATTCGCTCGCTCGGCACATTGTTTTGTTCCTAGCTTTAGCTGGCTGCAGCAAAATCGTGAACGCTGTCATCGTAATTAAAACCCAAAGATGTTCCACTTAACACGCAGGCTTTCGCGACCAATATCATCCATAATGCAGGTGTTTTTGGGTTAGATCGTGTAAATATCAACGATATTCCGATGGCCGCACAGTGTGGGGAGGTGGCGGGGGGTGGTGGTGGTAGGGGGGGGGAGGCGGTGGTGGGGGGGGGGGTGACGGTGGCGGTGTAGTGGTGGGGGGGTAATGATGGTGGGGGGTTGGTGGGGGGGTGGCGGGTTGTGTATTGCTGGGAGGGGCACTCACTTTGTGAATCCGCACCCTCAACCTCGGCTCCAAGGTGCCCGGCGACGATCTGCTCGCCGGAGTCGCTCTCACCTGGGCGCGGGCACACACACGCAGCAGCACGTACGCTCATGCGTACGTTGGAAGACGAGGGCAGCCACGCGTGGTGCTTAACGCACCGACCCCTTTTGCGTCGGCCTTCGCAGGTGCTGCTCAGTTTAACACGTAGCAGGCTTTCGCGACCAATATTATTCATAATAAAGGTTTTTGGGTTAGATCGCGTTATTTATAAATGTGTCGTAACCCTCCACCACCCGACACGGCCAATCAGCAAAAAAGTGTCACGTTGACAAAAGACAAATAGTTCACTACTTTAGCCCACCGGTGTGTTGAAGAGTGAATCCACAACATTTACAGTTTGAGTACTGTGACGTTTCGCTGGTAATTACATCCAGCATCATCGGGCAATTCGCCAGGTGCTGCTCGTCAACACTCTGCACAGCAGCCTGTGTGGGGTACACACACACACAGGTGCAGCGCACGCACCTGTGTGTGGGGTACACACACAGGTGCAGAGCACGCACCTGTGTGTGGGGTACACACACAGGTGCAGCGCACGCACCTGTGTGTGGGGTACACACACACAGGTGCTGAGCACGCACCTGTGTGTGGGGTACACACACACAGGTGCAGCGCACGCACCTGCCCAGAACCTTGTTGTTGTGGCGACGGCGTAGACTGCGTAGACTGCGTGGACTGCGTAGACTGCGTGGACTGCATGGGCTGCGTGGACTGCCCTCTCCCCTTGGGAGCGCCCCGGCTCTGCGGCGGGCACACGTCGAGCGTCAGACTCGCGAGCGCAGCGGCGGCTCCACCAGCGGCCGAGGAAGGGCAACGCGCCACCAACAACGCCGCGAGCGGTCGTCGGCCGCACCGCGGGAGCGAGAGGTGCCCTGATACTTGGCATTGCCCCGGTACTGTTCGCCTTTTGCCGTTGTTCTCTGGTCTAACATCGGTGCGGAGACAAGGCCATAATGAAGGCTGTGTGTCTGGTGTAGGCCAATCCGTACACGATTATCAGAGCATGTTAGTTTGCATGTTTTGCCACAAGTACGTGTGGTTGATGCCGACTTGATGCCATGCTAAAGTTATCTATTTGGTGTTTGAACACCTATTCTTATACCGGAGGAACCCGGAGGAAAATCCACGCTGCGACCACCACGGGGAGAGAGAGAACACGCGGACTCCAGATATACAACGGCAGGCGTCGCCAGGGTCCGGGGATCGAATCCATGGCCTCTTGCGCTCCAGGCGAGGGAAGTAACATCTCCGGTACATTCCGTGCACCGGAGTACAACTGGACTTGCAGGTGATCATGGCCACCCATGTCAGGGTGGGGGGGGGGGGAGATAGAGGGGGAGGAGGGGGGGAAGAGGTGGGGGGGTGGAGGGGGCACTGAGCACTCAACATGGGTGGAGGAACGAATGAGCCAAGGTCACGGCAACGGTGACAGCGGAACTTCCAGTGGTAGTTCGTAGTAGCCACAGAAGAGTGACGAGGAGGCGGCTGACCGCCGGCGAGAGACCGAAGTGAACCGGTGAGGTGCTGCACGTGGGAACCCCACGGCGTTGGCCGTGGTTTTTCTTTTTGGCGACCTGGGCTCTGTCTGCTGCGAGACGGTGACGGTCACGAGGCCCCCGCCCGCCACGCGTCTTACCGCTACGTTCGACACAACCGATGCTCCTTTAGATGCAACTAATGACCGTCACCTGGGGGCGAAACGCCCAGCGTTCTTTCAGACCCAGATACGATGAGTAGCAGACCAGGGCCGGAAACCGATTGAACGAGGTTCCCGAGCGGACCAACTAAACGCCGAGGGGCTCTCGACGCCTCGCACGTGGACTTCCTGGCCACGCGCCCGAGGGAATACAACAGTGACGTCGCGTCGCCACCTCACGGAGGGCGCACGACGGCCGCTTTACTCCAAAATCTACCCAGCGCGGCGACGGCACGGGAGCTGGGCGGCAAGGCACCACGGACGGCGAGGCAGGATTCCACCTTTGGCTGATCGAGTTCACCCGTACGGAGGTCGTGACCCCGGCCCAGACCCTCAAGACGCACCGCGTCGGCCGCGCTGCGCAACACGACCCGCCCCGTGGGCAGCGTCTCCATGGCGACGATGTCCGTGGTGTAGGCCAGCATGGCCTCCAGGGAGTCGTAGCCGAGGCTTTGCCAGTTGAGGAAGATTCCCGTGCGGCGCATGAACGCGTCGGGCAGATCGGCAACGGCGAGGCCGGACGGGTGGGCATGGAGCACGGAGCCCAGCATCACACGCAGCCACGACGGCAGAGGCTTCGCGCGGGCACACACGCACAATGACAAAGATCCCCCGTATAATCTTAAAAGACTGTTGGGCCAAGTGCTGTTAGCGAGCAACTATGAAGCCTGCCACGGCACACAAGGGGGTGGGTGGCCAGCACCACGCCCGGCCACCTTTGTCTCCCCAGTGGTGTTTACACATCGCACACTGGGTACTCATTTGAGGCTGAGTCGACTTGGGGGAGGCCCAGGACCGTTTCAGATAATCGTCACAGGAATAGAACTCGGGTCGTCGGGTTCATAGCACGTCACGCTAACCACACACGCACATGCATGTATAAACACATGTAAACACTAGCTTGGTTCAATGGCGAGAGAAGAGCCGATCATTGTGTTTGCCACCTCTTCAACCCTTTCGCAGCCAGGCGTGCATTGCAGGAGCTAGTAGTAAAGTGACATCATGACACGCAGTGCATTGTGGGAGCCAGTACTAAAGCGACATCAAGACACGCAGTGCATTTTGGGAGCTGGTGCTAAATTGACATTATGAAACGCAGTGCATTGTGGGAGCGGGATCTAAAGCGAAATCATGACACGCACTGCATTGTGGGAGCCAGTACTGCGGAGATATCAAGACACGCAGTGCATTGTGGGAGCTGGTACTAAAGTGACATTATGAAACGCAGTGCATTGTGCGAGCGGGATCTAAAGCGACATCATCACACGCACTGCATTGTGGGAGCCAGTACTGCAGAGATATCAAGACGCGCAGTGCATTGTGGGAGCTGGTGCTAAAGTGACATTATGAAACGCAGTGCATTGTGCGAGCCGGTACTGCCGCAACTTCAAGACATGCAGTGTACTGTGGGAGCCGGGAATAACGTGACATCAATGCATGCAGCGCATTGTGGAGGCCGGTACCACAGCAACATCGTGGTACGCAGTGCATTGTGGGAGATGGCACGAAAGCGATATCAAGACACGACTTGCATTGTGGGGTGCCAATGGCAAGTGCACGCGACGAGGAACGAGGTGCAGACGAGCTCACCGCAGAGACGCAGCGCGCACGTTCCGCTTGCCGCGGCCTCCCCCTCTTCCTGCTTTTGTGGCTGGAAATCAATCGCGACATCCCCTTGGTGACTTCAACAGAGATGGCTGCGAAAGAGAACGCAAAGTCAACGCGCAAGCATTGTCACCGCGGGGAGCTCATCCACAAGGGTTGACAGAGACGAGCGGCGCTGGGAACATTATCCGAGACAGACACGGAGAGACAGGGCGACGAAGAGATGGGAGAGACGGTAGAGACAGGGATATGGAGAGACGGGAAGAGACACGGACACGGAGAGACACAGACATAGTACCGCATCTGTTGGACCATAAAGTAAACCACTATAGCCTGCGCTCCTTCAACAAAGCAACATTAAGGAGGAGCAGATCGAGAGGTGGCCGCGTGGCTCAAAAAGGTCAGAGCACTCGGCTGGCACGGACGTACCGTGCACCACCAGCCCCCGCGTGGGGTGCATCTCCATGCGCGCCACGTCCGGCATGGACTGCAGGAGGCCCAGCGTGGAGGACTGTCCCAGCTTGGCGTAGGGCAGCGCGGAGCCGGTGAACGCGCGGTAGTCAAGCTGCAGCCTCTCCGGGGTGAGGCCGTCCTTCTCCGAGAGCAGCAGCGAGCGCAGCAGGCGCTTCACGCTCACCAGCAGCTCCTCGCGCTTCTCCGCCATCGTGTCCCGGGCCTGCGCTGGAGAGGCAGGCAGAGACTGATGGGAGATGAAGAGAGTGGGGGGAGGGGGGCAGACAGATGAAGAGGGGGGGGGGAGGACAGGGAGAGATAGGGAGACGGGGAGAGATGCAGAGATAGGGAAAGATGGAAAGACAGGGCAATGAAGAGAGAAAATAGGGAGCTGAATAGAGGGGGTCACAGGGAGAGACGATGAGATGGGCGAGAAGAGATGGGGACAAAAGGAGATACAGGAAGAAATGGAGAAATAAGGAGAGATGGAGAGATAGGGAGAAGAAGAGAGGAAACAGGGAGATAAAGAGAGCGGGACAGGGAGAGATGGAAAGATGGAGATAGGGAGAGATGGAGAGACACGGAGAGATGGAGAGACAGGGAGAAGGAGAAAAATACAGGTAGATGGGGGAGAGGAAGACACGGAGAGATGGAGATATAGAGTGTTGGAGAGACAGACAGCGAGGGAGATGAACAGACAGGGAAATAAAGAGATGGAGAGAGAGAAGAGCATGCAGATGGATCGGGAGAGTTGAGAGACATGGAGATGTAAACACAGGTGGATGGAGAGAGAGGGATACAGGGAGAGACAGAGACACAGAGTGATGGCGAGACTAAGAGACCAGGGAAAGTGAGGAGAACAGAGCTTGAGAGAGGAGACAGGCAGGCGGCGGAGGGGAACAGGAAGAGATGATAGAGATCCAGGGAGAAGCAGAAGACAGACTGTAAAAATGGCGGGACCCCGGGGTCCCGAATAAACGGAAATCAAAATCGCAATTAATTTATTTTTGGCGACTCCGTCCCACACCGCGGACATCAACGCCGCGACCCACCGGAAACCAATCCTCTCGTTCTTCAACAAGCACCCGTCGTTACCAAAATTGCCGTAGTCATAAACACAACTTTTAAACTTTGATTAGCAGCGCGTCGAGAAGAATAGATTGCCGTGTCGTTCGCCTTCAACAGACATAAAATTACGTCGCAACACAGTTTATGCGAGAGCCGGAGGATTATGATGTAGGTATACGCGCAGCAAAAGGGTCTGGTTACATTGGTGTGGTGTGCAACTGTTGTGTTGATGTTTCTGCTGCCTTGCCCAAGCTTGATGAATCTGATGTATATCAACAAATGTATTCAGAGTCACTTGCATACCATTTTTTTCTATTTTTCACTCCTATCGTGGTGCTGTTGTGTAGTTTGGTTGTTGTAACTCGCTGACCCCATGCCCATACTGGACGTGTGATAAAGAGCTTTATAGCTCATCGGATTCCACCCAGTCTAAATATTCTGATTTCTTAGAGCATGTGGTGGCACGTGTCTCACTCAACGCGTGGCAAGCTTAGTCGTCACTGGCATGCCTCAATTGTGGTGCATTCGATTGTTTTCTGGTACATACTTACACATGATAAGCCACTTTGTTGCGCTATCATTTGTGGCCAGGTCGCCTCTGAAAAATAAGTTTAATACCTCGGTGGCCTTTAACTGGTAAGATTAAAAATATATGTACATTTTTAAAAAGTGACTTGTTGCTCTGCACTGCAATCGTGTATTGTATGTTATGAGGGGCACAGGAGCGACGCTCACAACAACGAGCGGAGCGCCGGGCGGCTAAAGCACAGCAGGTTGGCACAGCAGGGGGGCACAGGTGGTGCATCAGCCACTCGTCTCAGTCAGTCGACCCGTGGCACCAGCTGGGTCTGCCCCGTGACCTCCTGCCAGCGGGAGTTCGACACTTCACGTGGCCTCAACGTGCACCTAGCCTGGCACAGGCGTCGTGGTGTCGTCACCGCCACTTTGTGGCGAATGGCGGTTGTTGTTGTAACGTTACGACCCTCGTGCACCTTACTTGACGTCAATGGGTAAAAAAAAGAGCTTCATAGCTCATCGGATTCCTCGTCCAGTATAAATATTCTGAATTAACAGCCTCGCCCAAGAAGAGCTTGCCGCCAATCATCAACCGAGGCAACAAACTCGATCACAGAATGGTGCCGGGCGCGCTCAGACGACGCGGGGACGTCATCATCAAGAGAGAGGACAACGCGGAGGCCGATCCCAAGCGTCGCCACGTGGCAAGGCTCTCAGGACCAGCGGCAGGCCTCACCGACGGCCTGGCCGGGCCTGGGGGCAATGAGCACGTGGCATGACGAGCGACACGTGGCACGTTATGCCAACGTTGGTACGCCCGCATGCCTTGTGCTGCCGCCACTGGAGATCGTCAACGTGCACTCTCGCAAAGCCGCCTCAAACCTCTTTCCCTTCCCTGTTTAAGTCTACAACAGGGTGGGGTGGTCTAGATGTATTGTGACCCCCCAATTAATTCACCCGCTAAATATTATTTTCCTTTGCATTTTCATGTTTGAAATGAACCTTACTTTAATACACTGTATATATGGCTTAGATAATTAAATGTGGTGGGGGTCACAAGACATCTAGACCAACCTGTACAGTATCGCTATCAAGTGTTATTCAATCGAAACTAAACTTTATATTTTAATACCAGGTAAGGCCCCTCAGAGCTACGTAGCTGTTTCTCAGCAACGACCTGCACATCACCAAGTCGCTCATCACGTGGACACGTACAGAGTAGCGTACGTAACACACCGTACTTGACCCTGCCATGGGAAGGTAGAATTTACATCACGGTCTCTGCCCGAGTGTGGGCATCGACTAGTCGTTAACAATTGATGGTTTTCGTGGTGCCCTCACGCGCTCTCAAGGTCTTAAGGGTTCATCTTCTTTGGTTCTTTCGGTAAAGTCACGTAGAATGAGAATAAAATAATAAATTGATAAAATAAAATAACAATAATATTCTCACGACGTTTCGGCCACAACACAAGCGGCCTTCATCAGGTGAAGGGACGAGACTGTCTGGTAGGACAGTCTCGTCCCTTCACCTGATGTCTGGAGGACAGTCTCGTCCCTTCGCCTGATGAAGGCCGCTTGTGTTGTGGCCGAAACGTCGTGAGAATATTGTGTTATTTTATTTTATCAATTTATTATTTTATTCTCATTCTACGTGACTTTACCGAAAGAACCAAAGAAGATGAATCCTTGCAGTCACGAAAGCTTTAAATCGAAAGTCTTAAGGGTTCTTTGGAATCCGCAGTCACTGGACAGCCCAATTCCATTTACAGGGTGACCCAAAAGTCAGGACACATCGGGTTATTTCATTTACTTTAATACGGGCATTAAATCACTCTTATAAGTTTTTTTTTAGGTTAGCATTTGATCTGTTATTATTAATAATGCTAAACTTGACCAAGAAACCGAAATGAAGTAACAAAATACACCTGGTGTATACCTGGCGAGGTAGTTAACATCTCCCCATCTTGTAGCACGCCCCTGGCATCTAAATCATACATTGTCACCGTTCTGTAAGCTGGAGCAAACATTAAATGTAGCTCGGATTAACGTATAAATACTACATTTAGAGTCGATTAATGTCAATAAAAACACAGCACTCTCACCTCAGAATGCGATTAAAATGGATGCCGGCCCGTCACGTGACCCTGTGCGGCGGAACCCACGTGACGACACAATTTCCCCCCACCATTTATCGATTCGATGGTTTTGATTCGATGACGTTATCGATTCTTTATTGACGTCAATCTGCCGGTCATCTCGGGGAGTCGACTCCCCACGTGCACCTTTCAGTTTTTCAGTTTATTTATTTTAGTATAGCCCTGTGAGCCATTCGGCTCTTGAATCGGGTGCAACCACAACAAACAAAAAAATAAAACACGAACAAGAAAACATATTAAAGTGACCATGTGACTGTGCAGACAGAAAATCCATGAAAAAAAACAGCAAAATATTCCTGAAAAAAAAGCACCGTACACCAACGCTGTGTAAAAAAAATCCCAGTGGGATGCAAGTCAAACAACAACCACAAGAAAACTTAGATTAAGGCCATCAGTCTATCAGTCTAACAAAACAAACATGTCCAAACCAAAAAACGTTTTCGAAATCACCAAAAAATAAAGACAATTGCAACGTAACAGTGATCATAGGGACTGTGACCGAATTTTTACAATAAACTACATGAATAACATGTAACACCAAATCCTCGAGCCATAGCTGGCTGCATGAGTTACTCCACAACAATAGAAGCATCAGTCGGAGTATCAAAATTTTCAATGCACCTTTAAGATCAGCACGCTAAATCAAAATACAGATAATACTTTGCAGCGTCATCCGGAGCGAAACATTTTATTTTATTTTTCGCCAATGAATAGCAGTGGCAGCTAGGGGTGTACAACTCCTCTAGAGCAGTTTTGAGAGATCTCATTGGTAGCGATTCAAGTTGCAGTTTATTGGCAATAGCATTCCAGACCCTGGGGACATCAATAGCAAATGCCCTTCCTCCAGTTTTTGTACGGTAGTAGGGAATGTGAAGCTGGTAAATGAGCGAAGACCTGAGGTCAAATTTGTTATTTGAAACAGAGAGGATATCCAGCAGGTAGTCTGCGGATTTTTTTGTAAGTACATCGTGAATAAATAAGATCTGGTGCACAAGCCGTCGAACATTAAGAGATGTTAAATTTGACCCAATGTAGAGATCACTGTGGTGAGTCCTATATGGGCAGTTCAATGTAAATCTTAAGGCCGAGTGATAGATGGAATCAAGCTTCTTCAGTATGGTATTTGGGGCTGATTTATACACGATATCACAGTATCTTCTTTGGTTCTTTCGGTAAAGTCACGTAGAATGAGAATAAAATAATAAATTGATAAAATAAAATAACACAATAATATTCTCACGACGTTTCGGCCACAACACAAGCGGCCTTCATCAGGTGAAGGGACGAGACTGTCTGGTAGGACAGCGCTGTCCTACCCCG